TAGTTTGGCGAATCGTGAAATCCAAAATCTACGAACTACTAGAAATGGATGTCACCGACATACCAATATCGTGGAGCTCAATAAATCTCAAGTGTTACTACTACAGAGCACGATAGGGCGACGATTAGTTCGAGACTATTGGGAGCAAGATACTCCCAATAGTCTCGCAATCTTTTTTGCTCTGCGCCAAACTTCTTATCAGAAGCAACTAACTGCTTCTTTAAGGAAGCCTTTTCAGCGGTCAAAGTATCCATATGCGCATTTGCCGCGGTGAGGTGGGAAACAACATTATATCTCATCCTTAAAGACGACGACCTGACCCTTGAATTTATCGATGAGATTCTGACGCTCAACATAGATTTCCTTTAAGTGTTTGGCCCGTTCGGATTTCTTGCTCAAAAGCTTCACAATAGTAGATTTTTCATCATTTGTAGCCGAAAGCTTTTCAGTCACGACGGTACCCAAGCTAACGTCCCACACCATTTTGAATTTCTTTTTGTAAAAACCGTCGTGATAGTTCGTTAAGTGCATCATCTAAAAGATAAAAGAAAGTCAGTTGATAACTTGGTCATCACAAAAACAAAGTATAAAGTAAAAAAATAAACCATGATCGTGTAGTGATTTATTAGATAGACATTAAATGAGTTTTAAGTTTATTTTTAGTAAAAAACAAAGTATTAAATCAGTAGATTTTAGGTTTAAAAAAATTTGAATGGTGATTTATTCAATTTTTAGCTTTTGGCTATATATATCTTGATTTATTAGATATATTTTTTATGGGTGTTTAGTTTATTTTTTTAGTATTAAATTAGTAAAATATATCTATATAAAACTAATTTGTCAACGATTATATAAAATTTATTAATAAAAAAATAAAGAAAAAAAATCTAATTCAAAAAATTATTGATAAAACTATGCAAATAGATTTATTTTATAGAATTACAAAAATAGTTAAATATTGAACAATTAAGTTGGTTTTATTGATAAAAATAGTTTAAAACATATTTTTATAAATATGAGTCATTATTTCCAAAAATTTATATCAGATTTTTTATGTCAAAATAATTACTTTCATTAACTAAACATGATTTGGATTAGTTGTTTTTTCCAATTTTATCTCTTCATTTGTGTTTTAATTAGACATAGCAATATTTTCAAGAGAAAAATGAATAAACCAAAATGTCCATTGGCATTTATTGTGAAAAAAACCAATAAAATATAGATTTTGGTTTTTGATTAGAAGGTAGTTTAGTCTAAAAAAATAGGTTCTTTATAATTTAAAGAATTATTTTTCAAAATCGTGATGGGATAGAAAATTAGTTTTTTGAAAAACAAAAAAAAAATAGTCTAGAATCTACAAACAATCAAAGGAC